AAGCTCATACATTGATAACGAATACAAAAGCTAATATATATATGACGTGTTAGTTTACAGCTTTTGTATTCGTAATATTACAAAAAAAAACACATACCAGACTAAAAAGACGATAATAACGTCAAGAAGAAAAACAAATATACATAGACTAAACCCTAAATCTATACTATATAAAAGAAACATGATGTTAGGAAAGAAACATGATATTAGAAAATTTACTTTGAAAAATAAAGAATTATGTATAAAAAGGAAATAAAAATATATGTTAAATTTGGTTTATTTAGCATGTTTCCCAAATTGATTGGTATTACTACTTTTTGAAAAAGCTTACATGACATGTCTATAGATTGATTTAAATCTTTATAGCTTCAACTATAGATTTATTTTGTTATTTTCGACCAAAAACCATAAATAAATTATTTTGTCAAACTTTTGAGTGGTAGCTCATTTTGACCGGCATTAACTTAACCTTACGCGTACTAATCTCTGAATATATATATATTCCGAGCTAGAAACTATCTTGAAGCAACTCTTGGTCGTTTGTCGATTCTTCAACTAAAACTTCGTCTTCCACACACGCTTTGGTGGAAGCTCATTTTGACCCGTTCCGATCTTACCCGTATTAATATCTGAATATCCCGAGTCGAAAAACTATCTTCGAAGCGGATAATCAACGTCTCTCCATTCCTCTTCTACTAAAACTTTAATGGCGACTCCTCCTCCTCCGGTGAATCTCTGGACGGTCTTATCGGAATCGAAACGTATAATCAACGCTCACTCACGCCACTTCCTCGCTCTCTCCGTCCTCTTTCTTCTTCCCAACTCCTTCTGCATCGCACTCTACCCCTCCGTCTCCCGCCTCATCACTCCTTCTGATAACCAACCGCCACGCGCTGATCCCGATTACAAGACGACTGTTCTGCTTCTGACTGCTTACGTCGTTATCATCACCGTCTTCAATCTCTTAGCTATTGGATCAATCGTTTATAGCGTCTTTCAAGGATTCTATGGAAGACCTGTGAAATTTATCTCAGCTATGAAATCGAGCTTCGCTTCGTTTTTCCCTCTACTCGCTACTCTAATCACTACGAATTCAATCGTTTTAGGGATTTTTCTGGTTCTAGGGTTTTATGGATTCTTGTTGAAGACGCTAATCGAGATCATAATCCCAGGTTTAGAAATCAGCTTCCTAGCTTTCTTAGTGATTGTAATGATCATCTCGAGTATAATCGTGATCAAGTTCCAGCTCGATTGGTATCTCTCTTGGATCATCGTTGTTGTTGAATCAGTCTGGGGTTTAACACCATTGAAGAGAAGCAAAAGCTTGACCAAAGGAATGAAAATTGCTTCGTTGTCTATAATCTTCTTCTTCGCTATAGCACAATTGCCTCTCTGGTGGATTAACAATGCAGCCGCTTCTATTCCGATCGAAAATGGGAGATTTTGGACAATCGTTTACTTCGTGTTTCAGATCGTGATCGCGTCTGCGTTTCTAATGTTTTCGATGCTGTATCATCTTGCAGCAACCACCGTGATGTATGTGTATTGTAAAGTTCATCACGGCGAGGTTGATTCTGAAAGAAATTACGTGAGCTTGCCTTTTGATGATGATGGTAAAGTTCAGCACTTGGTTTCTGTAGCTCACAACAACGTCTGATCTTTATTTAGCATCTGCATGCATGTGTTTTCTAAACTCTTTTGTTTAATAATATGATACTAGCTTGTCATGGTAAATTTTAAATATTGTAATAATTCCTCGACTCTTTTTTTTTCATCTCGTGAATTATTATTGATAATCTCAAATAGAAATACAAACGATAAAACTCAATCCTGAACCGGAAGAGTCAACTACTCAAACCTACAAGTTAAACAACTAATCAAACGACTGATCAAACACATACCCATGACTTAATTCCGAGACAAGAACAAAAGCTCGGAAGGCTAAAACATTGTAAAACCGAAAGCAAGAAGAGTCATCACAACAAGAAAAATATCTAAACCACTCTGAAACTTCTTTGTTGGTACTCAACCCAATATCAATGAGGGAAAGTTGTTGATATGCACCGCCGCAAGAAGAATTATTCAGAAAGACGGAGAGCGAGGATCCTTTGCCTTTGATCGGAGAAGACCTGCCCCAAGAACATCTTCATAATCACCACACTTCCCAAGCTTTATTCGTCCTCAAAAGTACAAGTCCATGGCAAAGAGGACATATCAAGTCGGAGCCGAGAAAACTTTTGAAACTTCGATGTATCACTAGATATCCGGAGCCCAGACCCCGATGACACTAACCTCCAGAGAAGCTCAAAAGACAAAATCCCGCTATTGACTTAAAGTCCACCTACACCATTCCTCATAGCTATAACCAGTCGATACCCAAAACACACTCGCCAACACCACATAAAAACGACAACTAAACAACCATACAATTTATGACCATCGATACGGCTAAGGATCACCAACACCACTAATACAACTACTAATACTTACGGAACAAAGAACCTACTAAGGTAGAGCAAGGATAAGCAGAACAAATCCAACAAGTAAAAGTAGACCAAAATCGCGAGCCAGAACTGAGGCCCATCACAAGCCCAATAAACGGCCCAGATCGCAAGCCCCAACCTAAAAGCCCGAGCCCCTAACAAGCCCACCAAACCCCACTAGCCAGATCTTCTGAGCTGATCGTCAATCTCAAGAAGAACCGCCGACGATCTTAAGCCGAACGACCTAACCTCCCAGTGAGAAGACTTCTTTCTCTGACGAGAGCTCGACCCATTCACCAGAAGAAGTAACTCGAGTCAGATGATCCCGACCACAAGCGCGTCTTCGACCACACGGAGGAAACCGCGACCCCTCCCTGATCTTTGATAGATCGAACCCCAAATCTTCACCTCTGCAAAACCCAACTGTATCGTAGTAGATCCCGTTCTTTTTGACCCTTAGATAGATATGCGAAAGTAAATTGACGAAAAGAGAAACCAATATACAATGCTAGTGTCGCCGCCGCTGTGAAAGCCACCGACGCCGGAAACAGAGGTCTTTTAGATTTTTTAACTATCGGCGGCTCCTCTTCTTCCTTGACTCTATCTCTATCGAAATTTTCATTTTTTTTTTTTGAATACTAAAAGGTCCATACATCCCCATCCCGTTAATTTAAAGACTAGAGCATTTTATATAGTTCTTTCCTAAGTATCATTCAAATCAGAAGTATCATTTAAATCATCGACTTTTAAGTTTTACCCGAAATATTTTACTAGTTGAACTTAAGACTCCTGGATAAA